GCCCTATATATGCTGACAGGAGGAAAAGTCAACTCATGTACTTACGAATGGGCCCAGCTTTGGTTTGTCCCGGTATGACGCGTCTGGTACGCGTCAACGGTACAGTGCGCACGTGACCCTGTATTTTCGCGTCCTTCCTGCTCATCGCAGCAGTCGATCGCATCCATAATCCCGCCAACCTCATCTCCTTCCTCTTCCACCCTCTGTGTATATAGTACCATGTCCGAGGCAGCAAAGCCCACAGAGGAAGCCAAGCCCGCAGAGGAGAAGCCCGCCTCCACCGCTGCGGCGGATTTCACGAAATATAAGGTGCGGACGGCCTTTTCTGCTTGGCGCGCGATCGGGATAGTTGACTGACGAGTGAATGGGATATCGCGTAGGCTGCTGCCGATATCACCAATGCTGTAATGCAGAAGATCGTCGCCGCGAGTGTGGAAGGTGCGAAGGTGCTGGATCTTTGCATCGAGGGCGACAGGCTCCTCGAGGAAGGCACGGGTGCCGTGTACAACAAGCCGGTGAAGGGCGTGAAAGTTAGCAAGGGTGCGTATCATCATGCACCTCATGCGCATTGACATTAAACCTTGCGCTCTTACCCTCAGGAATCGCGTTCCCAACGAGTGTTTCCGTCAACAACGCCGTCGCCCACTTCTCTCCATTGCCCACCGACCCCGCATCCTCGCAAACCCTTGCCAAGGGTGACGTCGTCAAGGTACACCTAGGCGCGCACATCGATGGCTACGCAGCTATCAGCGCAGAAACACTCGTCGTCGGCGCATCCGAAGACGAGCCCGTCACTGGCCGGCGCGCAGACGTGCTCAAGGCGGCATGGACTGCAGCGGAGGCAGCGATGCGGCTGGTCAAGGTCGGAAACAAGAACTGGGGAATAACGGAGTCGGTAGCGAAGATCGCTAATGCGTGGGACTGCAAACCTGTCGAGGGTGCGTGTAGTCGCGTGCTGTATTGGGAGGTTTGAATTGATGAGCGAGTGCAGGCATGCTCTCATGCGAGCAGGCGCAGAATGTGATTGACGGGAAGAAGCGCATCATCCTCAATCCGAGTGAGGAGCAGAAGAAGGGCTTCGAGACCGTGACGTTCGCGGAGAACGATGTCTGGGGCATCGACATCCTCATCTCGTCCGGAGAAGACGGCAAGGTGAGATCTACGCGAGCACATCCGATCGTCCATCCCGCGTGCTCATGTCTGATTCGATCGACCGGCACTAGGCACGGTTGGAGGAGTCCAAGACGACCATCTACCAGAAGGAGTCGAGCGTCACGTATCAGCTCAAGATGAAGACCTCGCGCGCCGTCTTCTCTGAGGTCCAAAAGAAGGCGGGTGCCTTCCCCTTCAACGTCCGCGTCTTGGAGGACGAGAAGCGAGCGCGGCTGGGTCTGCAGGAGGCCGTGCAGCACGGACTGGTGAAACCTTACGAGGTGATGTGAGTACATTCACGTAAATCGCTTCTCGATTGAATCTGATCGGTGTACTGATCCCTAGCTACACGCCCTCGAACACGTTCGTCGCGGGATTCCACTTCACGATCGCGCTGCTTCCTGCCGGTCCTGTGATGATCACGAGCCCGCCTGTCTGGTACAAGCCGGAGCTGGTCAAGACGGAGAAGGAGCTTGAGGATACGGAGTTGAAGGAACTGCTGACGCAGCCGCTGCGGGAGGACAAGAAGTCCAAGAAGAAGAAAGCGAAGGAGGGTGCCGAGGAGAAGTAAAGACTGTAGTCAGTTGCACTGTATAACGACGCAATGTATCGCTAGTGTAGCGCTTACTTTGTCAATCTTGCCATAAGCATTGTAGAGATACGTTCTACGCTGTTGCACCCTTCTCTGCATCTTCGCCGAACTCCGCGAGTGTTCGAGTAACCAGATCGACATTCTCGAGGAACGCGTTCACCGTGAGTCTGCTGAGCCTGACGGTCAACGTTTTGAACGTTCTGGCATGTGTCAGCGCTCTGTGGTGATTGAAGTGGGTAGATGTGACACTCACGCGACAAGAATGTTGTCCTCTATCGACAACTCTCGCTGGACGGCATGAGGTTGCAATTCTTTGTCCACTTCAATCACTTGTTTTGCAATGGACGCGTGCTGTTCTGATCCAAATGGGATGCGAACTGTCCTGTATATTCGTGAGCACCGGTGTTGATTATGGAAGTAATGGGAATTGTACACTGTATGCCATGGTAGATCTGGAGAGGACATAACAAAAGTTTTGTGACCCTCTACTGAATCACCTTCAACTTTCCGTTGGGCCTCAGAACAACTGGTGATGGCGGTCGCCAGTAAGTAACAAGTTAGATGGCACAGGTGGCTGAGAGTGGCTGAGATCCCTAGACCCGATCCGATCTCCTGCGTTCTGCTACGAGCGCTAACGGCCGAGCAGGGCTCGGAGGAGCCTGAGGCTAATACTGTGCTTACTGTAGTACGACGCTGCGATTCAGACTCCTGGTGTGCCCCGATTTCTATCACGACTTTCAGAGGCGTCTGTGGTTTATACTTCAAAGCGACGTGGAACTATTTGGGATCTCAGTGTCTGGGTAACTCTCGTTGCACGCCGCGGCCTGGAGAGAGTCGTAGCGGCGTTTGATCTGGTCCACTGCCATCACACTATTGTTATTGGCTTTCAATGTCGTATCGAATATTGAAAAGGTAAGTCAGCAACTCTGTGCGGTTTGACAATGCTTGCTAAGTGACTCAGTTGCTCACAAATCCCATAGACACTCCGAGTCGGCAGTGAGGGGCCTCCGCACAGCTTGTGGCCGCTGTCACTACCCTGTGGGTCGACCAACCAAGCAACGCATATTCGTGAAGTCTTGTAGTAGCCCTGAGCCAAAAGACGGCGGCGAACACGGTGAATTGTCGCATCAATCTGCGTGGAGCCACAGTCTCTGCGAGCGGAAGGTGGCTCGAGCTCGTCGGCAGTATCACCGCGTCTGTCGCCTGTGTGGAAGATGAGTCGATATCCTCTATATCTCAGGTCTAATTCACTGGAAGTAGCCTTCACTATGTTCTGTCTACTGCCACGTACTACCAGCTGCGGGCCGAGCGTGCCTGTAGCACTCGGGGTCGGCGATGTATATACATAACCCCGCATTCTTCCACGCAAAATGACAGGCTTGGCGCTGCAGACGTCAAGGCAAGAGCACAATCTCGACCGTCCGGTTGCAAATGCGAACCGTCTTCACAACTCTCAGCGCTTACCCCTGAGTGAGTGAATTTGTCAAACCATTCGTTGGTATGCTGATCCGTCGTCTTCCGTCGTGCCTTGGCCTCCAATAATCGCTCACAGGTCCACAATGCAAGGCACAGGAGACCCTGAGTATTGTACCGAATGTTGGCTAAGTTCCAGTGGACGCATATGATTGCCTGTATCTGCTGCGTCGCTGACTCGGATGGGCTTGTCGCAAGATTGCATTCTGAAGTCGTCCGCATCGTCGGGGGTTCGTCCCTGTTGTCCACGCTCACCACGACTTCCAACAGCCCTAAGACAGTGGGTAGGTCCATATGCACCATTCCCTTGCAGCCACAATCACCAATTAATGGGCTGGGAGAATGTTATCATCCAGTGCGTCGCAAACACCGTATGCTATGATCCCAGTCACCTGGTTCCATGCTACGTAGTTCGAAAAGCAGCCGCAGTCAAAGGTATGTACACAGCCGCGCTGCTGGCCGTTCGTGCTACATCTGCTGAAGAAGGAACCTCGCAGTGCACACCATCGCCGCGTGCGAAGTTGCATCTACTAGGCACTCCTTGTACTCGCGAATGCTGTGTAACATGCGGATGTTCTACTTTCTTGTTCGTATCATCAATCGCACGGTAGTCAGCGGTGAGTCCAGGAACCTTGGCCTTGTTCTGGATGCTAAGGATATCTGATGCCTGGATAGTGCGACCCGGATTGTCAGCCAACCTGGTGACCCTCTGTGCCAGTGTTACTGGCTTCTTTTGCTACATATATCAGTCGTGAGCAAGATAAGGTGGCCCAGACGCGTATACTTTCATATCATGGACGTGCATTCCCAAAATCTCCTGGCCCAGCCGACAAGTCCCACCAATAGCTCATTGGCTGGTCCCGATCATGATCGCGATGTCGGGTGCATGGGGGTTGTATCGAACTCGCCATTCGCCTCCCTTTGACAACTGACAGACTGAGAGTCAACCGCAGAATTCAGAAACACTCAATGTCAACTACTCATGCCACCGAGCGCCTCACCAGCCGGGTCGAAGCGTTCTCGGCGAATACTTCTGACATATCTTGGCAATATCTTGGTGCAATGGATGCAAACGTGCTCACAGTTCCAATATCCACACTGTCTCCGCGCAAATCGGTGAGTCGGGTCGTTTGATTGAGAATAACTCTAATGAGCTTATATGACACTCGTCCATTACAGATGCGTATGCGATGTTATATCAACAGGTAGCTCTATTTTCCCCTCAATCGTCGCTCACATACGCATGAAGAGCGGGGGAGAACAAGTCTTACACACATGAAATGTGCCGATTGGGTGAGCTGACGACAGTGGCCGTAGCCGATCGCTGCTTGCAGCATGTATTTCGGTGCGTTTTCATCTCTGACGGTGCGGTCATGAACGCGTCATAGGCTGCACGACGCGCATCGACCAAGATACATTATAAGAAGCGACGTAGACCCTACCACTCGGTTTGGGCTCGGGAGCGACGTAGACCCTATCACTCGGTTTGGGCTCGGATCCACCGCCACCGTTCGACAATGAATGTGGCCCCGTTGTTTCGTCATGAATTCGACTAGTGAGTATGTGTATGGCATGACGGTCTTCTCATGTTCTTGTCCCGACATGTGGCGGCCATAGCGGAGTGTACAATGATAGCTGCACCGTCATGTCCTCGAAGAGAGCTATGTGGGACGATTCTCGGCACGTCACCCGGGATTAAGCGTCCAGGTATATGTACCCGAATGGTTCCCTGCCCCTCCTGCGTACTCTCTTTCACTCCTGTGCATCCTGTGCGTCGTCACTGATGGATTCCAAGCCGGTGTTTTTGCTATCCTTTGTGATAGCTATTGCTGCTTATGTGCAGTGGAAACTTATCAAACTTCTCCTGGGGCCTTACGTCTCCAGCCTGCGGTACTTACCCGGCCCGACATCTCGTAGCTGGCTCCTGGGCAACTTGCAACAAGTCCATGAGTCTTCAGATTGGATGCAACGATTTGGGGATACATTCAAATTCAAGGGACTGTTAAATGTATGCTCTATCATTTCTGCAAATGCCGACTCGTCATTGACCTCGATGTACAGTCGGATGTACTTTTCACGATCGACTTGAGAGCCCTCCATCACATACTAAACAACATCACTGCTTACTCTAAGCCAGAGGTGTATCGACTGAACGTCTCAGCGTTCGTTGGAGAAGGTAAGTCCTTGCCAACATGCATTTGTTGCCTCCTCATGCCATGACATCGACAGGTTTGCTACTGGCTGAAGGTATATCTCCTTAATTGACCAAGTGTGATCTGTCTCACCTACTGCTTCAGGCGAGCAGCATGGACAACAGGTCAGTGCACCAGCTTCTGGCAGGTGAAGAAGAAGATGACTAATTAGCCGCCATAGCGAAGAGTTATGGTAACATCGCATTGTCTGTGTACGATGCAGTGTTTTAACGGCCACAACACAGAACCCTGCGTTTGGCCCTGCCCAAATCAGAGACCTGACGGGAATTTTCGTACAGAAATCAATCGAGGTAAACACGATGACGACTCTTCGCAATCTATCGTTCGCTCAGATGACGCACTGGCATGCAGCTCACACAATTTTGGCAATTGCATATCGGCAAACATGGAGAAACCGCACGAATCGACGTATTGGACGGATTATCTAAGATGACCTTGGATGTCATAGGGCTTGCCGGTGAGTCTGCATCAAATGAAGCCTCACCGCCTTGATGATTATGCACGTTGTGAACGTCATATTCCAGGATTTGGCTATCATTTCAACTCCTTGAGCCCCGACGGCAAAGAAACCGAACTGAACGAAGCCTTCAACACAATATTCGGATCCGGGGCTAACGACGCTTCTCTGTTCAAGCTTTTCAGACTGCTGTTTCCCCTGGTACAGCATTTAGTGAGTGAACTGGCTCGACACCTTTTTTTCCGTCAACCTAACACGTTTAGCCGGTACCTGGAGCGAGGGAAGTCAACAAGGCACGCAGAATCATGCGCAGAATCGGCATGCATCTCGTTCGTGAACGGAAGGATAACATTTTAAGTAGCGCTGTTGTCAATAAGCGCGGCGGACTTGATCAGCGTGACCTCCTCACCCTCCTCACCAAGGCCAACACGGACGCGAGCGTTCCGGAGAATCAAAGCCTATCTGACGAGGCCATCATAGCGCGTGAGTCGACGACGTATATCTGGGATGTTATGTGCTAATCGAATCCCAGAGATACCTACGTGAGTACTTGATTGGTCAACATTCCGTAGCCTAGCAGATGTAACACGGGAAGCAGTTTTCTGGTTGCAGGTCATGAGACCACGAGCAACACAACGGCATGGGCCCTTTACGCACTCAGCATAGAGTGCGACATGCAGACGAAGCTGCGTGAAGAGTGTCTCGCTCTATCTACCGACAATCCGTCTATGGATGACCTCAACAAGCTTCCGTACCTCGAAGCCGTCGTTCGCGAAACACTCCGTCTCCATCCTCCTCTCAATTACGTCTTGAGGGAGGCGACGAAGGATGATATCATACCGCTCAGTAAACCTTACATCGATGTACATGGGAAGATTCACGACCATGTGAAGTACGTGACTTCTGCACCTATAGATAGGCGTCGTCTGTACTAACGTCGGCCTACTAGGATTGATAAGGGGACCATGATACAGATCCCCATACTGGCCGTGAATCGCTCGAAGGCCATATGGGGAGAGGATGCACTAGAATTCAGGTACGTGTCGCTGTTCGGGATTATTTGCAACATCGTGGTTAACGGTGTCACTTCGCTACTAGGCCAGAGCGTTGGGACAATGTGCCTGAGGCGGCTCAGAAAGTCCCCGGAACGTGGGGGAACACGATGACCTTCCTCGGGGGCCCACGAGCCTGCATAGGCTATCGGTTCTCTCTCGTTGAGTGAGTTTGTTGTTCCGTCGAGAGGAGCCTGCGTCTGATCATCTGCGGCATAACTTACGTTTAGGATGAAAGCGCTGATCTTCACGCTCATCCGGGCGTTCGAATTCGAGCTGGCCGTTCCCTACGAAGACGTGGTGAGGCAGAACGCAGCCGTCCAGCGGCCAATCCTTCGCAACGCGATGGACAAGGGTAGCCAGCTACCGATGCTTGTGAGACCTTACCAGAAGACGTAGTGGTCCAAGCTGAGCCAGGCTGACCCGGAGCTGGGGACTTCTTGCTACAGCCTCGTACTTTACTACTCCGAGTGCACGCTATTCGGATTAACACCGCCTTTTGAAAGTGTGCCCGGGAGGATCTCTTCAAGTAGAAACTAACTTCCGCTCTTCGCCTCTTCGTGCTCCTCGCTTGTTTGTAATCCCTTTTATTGTAAGTTGAGGGCGAAGCCTAGTATGGAGACTCAAACCATGCACATGTACTATACTACTTAGGTTCGAGGCGAAGGTGTCTAGCTAATCATTGCTTCCTGCTCCTAGTCAACGTATTCGATATCGAAGTTCTTGGGTCCCGCACTTCTCAGCACGTCATTGCCGGATATCAACTGCCGCGTACCATCATCATATATGTATGTGCATACGTACGTCTCGAATGCCGCAAGCTCCGCTGGCATGAGTCTCAGCGACGCCTCGTAGATGCTTCAAGTTGTGCTTTGTGGCAATCATCAGTCTCATTCCCCTGTAAACTCTATGGGGCCATAGCTCGGATGCACTTCAATGATGCTCGCGCTATATTGTCGGTAAGCACGTCTCTCGCGATTGAAATTCGGGTGACGGTATGTAGTAAACATAATGCATGAGAGCGAGGAAATGGGCTTCCGGTGTATGAGCCGGACAGTGCAAACAACGTACGTGATATGAATTAGTGGCTCGCATGGGGGCCGCGGAACACGCAGACTCTCTATTACATGCTAACAATATTGTCCCAGGTAGCGCATGAGCGGGTGCTTCCCGTCTTTGCATTCAGGACCTTCTCAGCTTCACCGTCTGCGCGGCCGCACTGACGGATGTAGGCTACAGAAAATCAGAGTCCGGCGGCGCGAGCAACTTTTGCCTTAAGACTCGATGCGCATATTGAAGCTGCCGCTCCCATTTCTCGATAAGCCGTCCTCCCCAGATGCCAGACCGTGGATCCGCACCCACAGTGATCATCGAGACCACTCCGACCGCGCACCGCGATGTTCTCGAGGAATCAACCACGCAGCTCCCGCCCAAAGCGGTGCACGCTGAGCCTGTTGCTGTCGTCCTGGGACTATCTGGCGACAGCGCTGAAGCCGTGGAGGAACTACGCGAGCACCACATTCGCGCTTTGACCGACGGCACCCGGACGTCCCTCGTCGACCTTGCGTATTCGTCCACTGCGGCGTACGGTGGAGCCACGCCGGCGAAGTACCGCTTGGCGGTGTCCGGCAGGTCGAGGGAGGAGCTCGCGGAGAAGCTGCGCGCGGCGTCGGTCGTGCCAGGCGTCGGCGAGAGCCCGCGGAAGGTCGCGTTCCTCTTCTCTGGGCAGGGCCGCGGCGCTGTACAGAGCGGTGCCTACCTTCCGACAGGCGATTGATGAACGCCAGGAGAAGCTCGTCTCTTGGGGGTTCGAAGAGATGCTGCCTTTCATTCAAGGCGTGTCGCAGGATGACGAGAGCGGACGGACGTTGGAGGCGGAGCACACTGCGCTCTTCTCGCTGGAGTACGCTCTCGCGCGTATGTGGACGGTGTGGGGCGTCGTGCCTGATGCAGTCTTGGGCCACAGGTGGGCATGCACAGGATCGTGGCATGTCATTTGGCCTGATCTTGAACAAGTCTAGGGGAGTATGTTGCGCTCGTCTGCTCGGGCGTCATCAGGTTGGACGACGGCCTCCGATTGATCTGGCAGAGAGCCAAGCTTACGAGGGAGCGATGTATGCGAGGGTCGTCAGGGATGCTCGTTTTCATGGCCGAACCTAGCGTGATTGAGGATATGATACGCGATGATCCGTACTATGATAAGTTGTCCATCGCATGCCACAACAGGTGAGCTCGTCGCGGAGTGTAAGGGTACGTTGTGACTGACCGACGACATGCTGAAGCTGGGCGAGACCATAACGCTCTCCTCACCCACCGTGCCCGTCGCCGCTGCCGTACATGGCGTCGTCGTGGAGGCGGGCGACCAGTCGATCTTCAAGTCCGACTATTTCGCGCACCACGCCCGGCGCCCTGTGCTCTTCCAGGAGTGCATCTACGCGATAGCCGCGCGGGACGCTGAGCTGGCCTCTGAGGGTGTTTGGCTGGAGGTAGGCCCGCACACTACGATCCTGCCACTGCTCCGGATGCATCGGGCCGTGGGGGAGGAGTGTGTGCAGGTCGGCAGCATGCGCAGAGGGGAGGTGGACGAGGAAGTTCTGTGCCAGACGCTCGCACGGCTGTACTGTGCGGGTGCGCCGGCGAATTGGCGCATTATTTTCCAGGAGTTGGCTGTTCGGAAATGATACCGTATTGGAACGTTCCTCCGTGTGTAGCGGCTCGTAGGAATAGTACTTGCCAAAGGCTCGATGACGACGTGGACGCTTCCAAAGTCGGCTCATGCACGTGATCAAATTTGGCAGCGGATGGTCGTCAGATCTATGCCCGATCTACGATCGAGCGTTCTTCCTGACAGGCACTGGACCAACACCGAACTGACGGCCCCGGGCGTCGAAAGCCACCAGCTGAACGTTAGATACGCGGCCCGCAAACAGCTCTACGCCCCTCACCCTTTTGCTGCAGTACACCCCCGTCCTCCTCACGACTCGGATGTCTCATTCTGCAACGTCGGGGCCGCACTGGCAGGCATTGCCAAGAGTCGGATTCAACACGGCGGCCGGCACGCACTGAGCGACGTGGCGAGAAATCCGACTATGGTATCGCGGACTTCGTGTGACGTCGATGAATCCTACAGTTTTCTCTGTAGTGCAGGTGTCCCACAGAGCACCGTGAAGAAGATTCTTGGCGCAGTATCGGGCCGTGCACAATGCGGTTGGTGTCGCTGGTCTTCCACCAGGAATGGGTAAGCGGGCCATCCATAGTCTCTTGCCGACCTCCCGGATTCCTGCAGACAGTTCTACTTCTTTGCATGTCCTCATCGCAAACATATATTGGCAGCCGCTCGCCGTTGCTACTCTCGGCGAGACAACGAGCGACCACCTGCCAAACGTTGCCCACCGCTGGCTCTACGTGTACAGCGGACAACTGTGAGTGATGTGCGCCCTCCGGAAAACACTCAATGCTTGACAGAATGAGCACTCCACAGAGGTATCTATGTCAAGGTCGGCCCCGCATCCAGTTGATGAACCGCTCGCGAGCGGGGATACATATGTCTTGGGCGGGCAAGGCACGACGGCGACCTTTTCTGCTCAGAGCGTGGCAACAGCTCTGCGGGATGCGGAGCGACCTCTCGGGGAAATTCTCCTTTCAGCTTGTCATGTCGCCTTCCTCGACCAGCTCGATTCGCTCTCTCCGTACGAGCTGACGCAGTGCAGATTGGATCCCGCGCGGTTGCAGAGTGCTTCCACTTTGCTCAGCGTTCCCAAGGACTTGCAAACGCACCCCGTTCTCGCCAATATCCATTTGTATCTGACCCAGCTGCTGCGTTTCGTCGCCAACACCTCCAACTTTGCTTATCGTTCAACCAATCCTCATTCGACCGTTCTCGGTTTCTCCACAGGTCAACTCGCCGCCTCAGTAATTGCCGCTTCTACCAGTGCCCCTACTTTCCTTCTTCATGCTGTCGAAGTGCTCCGTTTCGCCTTCTGGCTGGGATACAACGTGTATCATTTCTCTACCGACGGATACTCCCTAGACGAAGATGCGTCTCCTTGGAGCGTGGTTTTGCTTGGCTGCCCCCGAGGCGATGCTGCAGACGCTGTTTCGGCGTTCAACAACTCTCACGTAAGTGGTACAGCTCTCGATTGTGATCATCTGCTCAACTGCATACAGCCGGACGGTCCTCTCGTCTACCTGACCGCTGTGACGAACGAGCGATGCGTCACCGTTTCTGGTCGACCAGAAGCCGTCGCCAAATTCGAAGCGACACATAAACCTTCCACCGCATCTGCTTCGCATTTCGCGCCAATATACGCCCTATACCACGCGCCCGCCCTTCGCTCAACGAAAGCGCGTGTTCTCGCCGACTTGCAACGACGGAACATCAGGTTTCCGACCTACGAGGATCTCAGGCGAGGCCTGCGTTCGTCCATTGACGGCAGCGTCATCGATTCGCAGCACCACCGCCCGGACTCGACGCTCGTAGAGGACATCCTCGACATGCTCCTCCTGCACCCCGTCAACTTCGACAAGGTTGTGGATAGTCTACGTACTGATCTGGCTGGCGACGACGTTCGTTCGGTCCGATTGGTCAACCTCGGGCCAGGCACGGGTCTCTGGCGGAGTACGATGCGTACGCTGGAGGGCCGCAATTTGTCGGTCGACGGTGTTGATTGGTCGTCTGCCTCCGTATCCGAGGCAGCATCTGTCCCGATGTATCTTACCAGCCCCGAGAGGCAGCCTCAGAAGGAGCCCATCGCTATTGTCGGAATGGCGGTCAACCTCCCTGGCGCTCCGAATGTTGCTGAGCTGTGGAGGGTACTCGAGGAAGGGATCAACACTGTCAGCGAGGTACGCATATATCCACACACCTACGAGTGTGAACCGCTCTGATATGATTGGTGCAGATACCTGCGGACCGCTTCGACGTCGCCGACTACATGCACGACTCGGATGGATCTGGGCGAACCATGCAGTCCGCCCACGGGAACTTCCTGGAAGACGCCGACGTCTTCGACAACGCGTTTTTTCGCGTGAGTCCTCGCGAGGCCCGCAGCATGGACCCTCAGCAGCGCGTTTTGCTGCACGTCGCGTACCATGCGCTCGAGGACGCAGGGTACGTCCCGAATGCCACCCCGTGTTTCGACCCCGAGACGTTTGCGGTACACGTCGGCGTCGCTACGAATGACTACGTGCACAATCTGAGGGACGACATGGACGTCTACTACAGTACTGGTATGTGGACACATGCGCATATATACATGGATGTGCCGCTGAGAACGGGTGTGTAGGCACGCTGCAGGCGTTTCTGAGCGGCAAGATCTCGTATGCTTTTGGGTTTGGTGGCCCTTCCATGGTCGTCGACACAGCCTGTTCTTCCGCCGTCGTTGCCATATACCAGGCCTGCCGTTCCCTGCAAGCAGGTGACTGCAATGCCGCTCTTGCTGGTGGCGTCAACATCATCACCAGCCCCGACGTGAGTGCATTCGTACTTCATCGTGTCCTCTCGGCAACTCATCGTTGACAACTACACAGATGCACATTGGCCTCGATCGCGCCCACTTCCTCAGCCCCACAGGCCAGTGCCGTCCCTGGGACGCCTCCGCAGACGGCTACTGCCGCGCGGAGGGCTGCGGCATGTTCGTCCTCAAGCGGCTCTCGGACGCGCTCGCCGAGCACGAC